TTTCCTATATTTTTAGCCTATCTCCAAAGCAGTGATAAATTTAGCCTGTGGTCTAAGCCACGCTCGAGAAATGCGAAATTTTTTCTTGGACATTATTGAAAAGGTATTTTTAAATTCTAAATCACTGAATTATTGATGTTCTGCAGTAGTTGCATCATATATACATTACATTTTTACAAATAATAAATGATGTACTGAAAAGGTCTGATAGTAGTAGCACTTCTCGTATGAAACGTGTTGTGCCACACAACCCTACGAAGTGGTTGGTGAGCAGTTGGATCACTTCAAAGTTTCTCCCATATTATTACCTTTTGACAAATGCTGCAGCGTAATTTCAAAAAACGTCAGTACGTCACTCTGTCGCCCTGCAGATTTTTCTACTTCTAGTTGTGAGGTTAATTTCATTCAAATTCTAACGTTTCACACGGTTTCATAGCTCTGTCTTCCTCATACTATTCTCTTCAGTTACTGCTGAACATTGAATTTTCTGAATCGAATATCTGATTGTTAGCATGACTATCATTATTCTTATTGTTCTATACAAGTAGCTATTTCCTGTCTTAATTAGTGGTATATACTTTCAATTTTTAGTTAATTGAACCAATGCGAGCACTGAATTGGCCATCAAAAGAAGTCAAAATGTTTTTTGATGCTTATCATAATACCGTTAAGGCTCTACCTCTTGGAAGGTAAATAGTGTATCTTTTTATTATGTATGTAAAAATATTTTGATATTTGTCTCTAATATGTAGGAAGACGCATTGTTGTGTATAATATTAGAGGTAAATATATGATTATTGACATATGTATGACTATTTCGAATATATGCTTGTATGTGTGTTGGCTACTGTTTTCCAAAAATCGATCATAAGCACATCGACTTTATTTTATGTTTTTAAGTGATTACACAATAATTTTGTGATACTCATATGTTAGCATTTCAAAGAAGAATCACCATTTAGAGTAAACTACTCAGGGGTTACTTACCTATTGTTTTCAAACTTTCTTTTCTGATTTTCGAATTGTTTCAAGAATTTGTCAAGTTATATACTATTTTATTTTGCTCAGCGCTGATATCGAGAGTGAAATATACTATTGTGCTGAAATGTAAGGTGGACTAAGTTTTTTGACTATGATGTAGTGATTCAAATCCATACACATTTATCTCGCACCTTATTTTGTTTGTCGGTTCTGACTACCAGTAACTTTTGTTACGAGCCCAAGTTCTGTTACTTTCCTCAAAAGTTGTACTAACTTTACGATGTACAACGATGGCCACAGAAAGCTTCATATTGTAAGAAAACCCGAAACGCTGTGACTTACAAATCAATGTATGTGCCCCTCTATAAGTACGATGGATAGAATAGTCTTACTTATGCCAGGAATCATTCGCGGCAGTTTTTAAATAGTTGAATATCTGCTTAAAAACTAAGAGAAACCTTTGTTTACTAGGTAAAATCGAAAGTGTCATTTTCCTATTAAGTTAGTTATGATGGGGTTGTTAATTCTGACATTTTTATAATTCTATTAAAAGTTAACGCATTGTTCGAGTCTATCGTCCTAAAAATTCACCGAGATCAATGGTACTTTTTATTAAAGTGTCTGCTGTTTAATAGCATGGTTAAGGGATCCTTTGAAATGATCAATATGTTAGCAGTAAGTTAAATATCAAAATATCAATAGACTTCATCTCCTTTAATCAACGTAAACAATTCAGGTTAAAAAATATTTGAAAAATAAATTGTATCTTTGATTGTTCAGTTCACGCGTGGGAAACAATCATTGAATAGAATGTATTACTATACTAAAAAAGGAGGTCAACCGAATTAAATCGAATTAATGTGCATAAATCAGGGAAGTGATTGTTTTCTAATAGATAAGAAAATATTAGCTTAACCATAAAAAACAACATAGTTATTTGAAATATCAATGTTTTGTTACTGTTATTTAATCACTTGTTATTAACATCGTTTCTCACCGTACGTTGAACATTTACTATTGTTTCCTTTATAATGCAGATCCTCAACTTTCCTCACTATATGGACACGTTTCATCATTCCATTTTCAAATTGTGTAATCCACTTATATCATAATTAATCTATGCGAATAAAAACGATAATTTACAATAATTTCTATGCAGCAACAGCAATTACCATTATAGGATAAATCGAGTTTATTTCATGTCGTGCGCTTTACTTCTCTCATGTACGCACTGGTTTGTATCAATAAATAAAATGTTTTACATCGTAGCTATATGTATATGAAGTCATTTAGTTCACCACTAAAATATACTTATAAATCCTTATAGCTTCTTTTAATGTCGAGCCTGTAATCACTAATTCCCCACTAGAAGAGACTGTTGACATACAGTCACGCTGTACTTGCAATAGTACGTACTTTGCAATATCATAGAGGCTATTACCTAAAGGAAACTCGGGATATAAGCCGAATACTTTGGTCGTGAATTGCTCCAAACTACCTGGTGGTGTCATAGAAAGTGATAAATTGGACACTGATCATCCAGTAAATCTTTGTACTACCCTCTGTGTGATAAATATACAAGACTATTTCAGAGTTTTACTTATGCAGAAGGAGCTACTGTCAGTTGTTTCAACATGAATTTGTGTGTACAAAAGGAACTTGTAGTTTAATTGACACTCCCGAGGTAGCCGTTTTGCAGATAACCTTTCCTTTCATGTTTCCTTTCTTATCTTTGAAGATATTTCAAATTGTCAGAGATTTCTTAAATCTGCTTTGTTTGCCTTCATCGCTTCATTTAATCACAGTAACACATTTATTGTTCATTTTAGTTATTTTCATTACTGATTTGTGGTTATTGCAACTGGTCTTGTTATTTTAGCACTATTCGATAAAATGTTTGACCTCTTATCTATTTAGTATTTTGTTTTCGTATATCTTCTTCAACTATTGTTGTCATTATTAGTGTTACTATCACCATTATTATGATCACTTTTATAATTGATTTTCGGTAATTACCATTGATTTCATCATTCTGTCTACTGTAATCATAACAATTTGTACTTGTTTCTTCTGCCCATTCATGTCATATCCTACCTCTCGCTTAATCTGTAGTGAACGAGAATACAAGTGGGGACAACCAAACGTATTCGGATAGGTAATTACAGGATCTCTTAGTAAATTCTGAAAACCATACAGTAAGTACTTCATTTGCAAAATGTCCATCAATTGTCTCAGATTTTATTGTTCCTTCATTTTTGTACCAACCATCGTTTGTTCTCGTTCTCTTCTCTTCGATCTTCTCAGCCTTGTGTCTCCAGACATTCCACTTTCGATTGGCGACACATACTACTTATATCTGTCAACATCAGTAGCACAAACCACAATCCATTCACCTATAAACTGGACTTGTATGAATAGGGTAAGTATTTATAATTATTCTTCATGATGAACTAATTAACTTCATACATGTTACACATATAGTTGCAATGTAAAATGTTTTATCTATTGGTACAAATCATTAGAGCACGTGAAATGACATGAACTAAATTCATTTCACAATATTGATTGTTCCTCCTGTACAAACGACTATTGCTGGGACCTATTGCGTAGAACAATAACTTCGATTTATATTTTTTAATATTTGTTGTTTGCTAGTTGTTTTGTGAATTTCGTAAATTATCTGTGATAATAAAACAATTGTATCTTTATCTTGAATTTCTGTGTGATCTTAGAATATATTGGTTAATAGAAATATTCTTGTTTAGTGTATAAAAAGAGGAATTTATTGTGTTATTATATGTGTTGATGATCACTTCAAGAAGCACTGAATTTATTGCTTACCAATCTTAGTCAATTAAAACAGATTGAAAATGTTTGTATGCAGAATTGAGTTTCACAATTCACTTTGTTGTTTGTTTATACTTTAGAAAGATATTTCTGTAGGCTAGTAGTTGTATTGATCAAGAAATTACCAGGAAAACAAGTCCTTGTTCTCGAAAGTCAACTTCATGTAGTTCCAATTGTTGCGACCTCATTAACTATCGCAAATTCTAAGCAAAGTGTTTGACTTATACACTCTGTACCGATTAATTAAGTTTAAGGATAATTTTCAACAGGAACTGATATCTTATAAAAAAAATCATTAAAGAGCGGCAACCATTCGGCCAGTTTTTGCCTTCTTACCTGTAACTTCATGTGCTTTCAACGACTTTCTGTAGTTACTGTCGATTTGTGATAATCACTATTGTGGTGTGTGCTACTGATGTTGACAGATATAAGTAGTATTGTGGTGCGCTCTACTTATATTGATATAGTAAGTAGTATATAACGCGAGTTTTAACGTAATGTCGGGCAGCAGAAGATGGGGAAAAATCAATAGAGGAACAGCGGCAACACAATGGAATTTGTATGATAAATCACGAACAATGAAATGTCAGTCAATGGATTGATATTTGCAAAAGGAACAGTTCAGTTTAATATGAAGGATTGATATTTTGCAAATTAACGATTTAATATATGGTTTTTCTATTTTACCAATTGTGACGACGGACCACGGGTGAACTCGAGGAAGCTATAAGAGGCTCAGAAGGAGCCGAAGATATTCCATCCAATCACCGTTAGTAAAGATATTCTAGAATCCCTACGTGTAGCTTCCCGATTGAACAAGGCTAATAACCCCCTGTGTGCGGATTGGAGGACTATAATGATGATTTTTGTTCTTACTAAAACTATAAATACCTGACAATTTGTACCCATAATTGACACTGTTTAGAATAACATTCCTTTCACTAGTCTTCTGTCTTCTCTTTGCGACTTGGTAGGGTTTGGGCGTTCGTGTGTTCAGTTGTACGCGTTATATCAAGTAAATCAACCATTTCTAGATATAACAACTGACGACGGGGTTATCATATCAAGATGTCATTTACCTTCGAACAACTTGAAGCCTTATTGGAACGTCAAGAAAAACGTTTCGAACAGTTCCAGATGCGCATGATAGAAACACTAACCCAGAAAATGGACCTGAATCAAAAAGAAGTTGCAGATGATCCCTTCAAATCTCATGTTGACCACATCATCGATTCTATCCATGAATTTAACTTCGATGCTTCAGCTGGTATTACTTTTGAAACCTGGTTCAACAAATATGAAGATTTGTTCAAGGTCGACCTCAAAAAACTTGATGACGCCTCTAAGGTCAGAATACTCTCACGAAAACTTGGAACTCTTGAACATGAACGTTACAGTAACTTTATCCTTCCAAAGAATCCAAGAGATTTTTCTTTTGATGCAACGATCGAAACTTTGTCGCAAATATTCGCTGAATAGTCATCTTTGTTTAATATTCGTTATTAATGTCTAAAGATAACAAAAGCAGTTGACGATGACTGGGTGAAGCATGCGGGGTTAGTAAACCGTGAATGTGAGCGCTTCAAACTATCAGCACTGACAGCAGATCAGTTTAAGTGTCTAGTGTTCGTGTGCAGCCTCCAATCTCCTGAGGATGCCGATATTAGAACCAAAATTTTGAGTAAAATTGAACAATATCCAAACAACACTACAAGAAGTAACCACAGAGTGCCAGAGATTGGTAAACTTAAAACACGACACTTCCATGGTCGAAAATAATGGCCAGTTGTCATACGTTCATGCTGTAAGTGGAAAGAAAGATACCGGCTCAAGAAAATCATCACACACAGACAATCAGCCATCATCTCCATGTTGGTCGTGTGGAGGTTGGCACTATAAAAGGTTCTGCCCATATAGAGAACATTATTGCAGTAAATGTCACCGAAATGGCCATAAAGAAAACAGATGCAGAAAAATAACCCATAAACGACATTCTTCGAAGCCCTATCTCAAGAAATACAGACATAATGCACTAACTAACAAAGTATTGGTATCACATAATCGAGCACGAATTTGCCGCCGACGAAAGTATGTGAACGTAGATATAAATAAAAAGCGTGCCCGCCTGCAGCTCGATACTGCTTCCGACATCACACTTATCAGTCGAAGAACCTGGAAACTTATCGGAAAACCACAGGTGCTACCGACAACCCAGTTAGCTCATAGCGCTTCTGGAGGAAAGTTGAACATTGTTGGAGAGGTTTGTTGCACAGTTTCAAAAGGAAACGCGAAGACAAAGGCAACACTATATCTCACAGAGAACCCAGGACTAGATTTGCTGGGTCTAGACCTATTAGAAACACTACAATTAACAAATAACTCCATTAACCACATATGCAGCGCCGTAAGAACCAGTAAACCAGTTGAGAAGGATCTGAAGAATGTTGTGTTAGAAAGACATAGTCAAGTATTTACAGAAGAATTGGGGGAGTGCAAAAGGGCAAAAGCAGTACTAATTCTTAAACCGGGAGTTACCCCAGTCTTCAGACCAAAACGTCCTGTACCTTATGCAGCGTTACCTATTGTTGAGCAAGAACTAGAGCGTCTGCAAAGTAGTGGAATAATAGAACCAGTGAACTTTTCCGATTGGGCAGCACCAATAGTGATTGTCAAAAAGTCAAATGGAAGTATCCGGCTATGCGCAGATTATTCGACTGGATTAAACGAAGCGCTTGAAGTCCATCAATACCCTTTGCCGGTACCAGAAGATTTATTTGCGAAACTGAATGGGGGTAAGTATTTTGCAAAATTAGACCTGTCAGAAGCTTATCTACAGATTCCAGTAGCGGAAGAATGTAGGCATTACCTGACAATAAACACTCATAAAGGATTGTTCCAATATAACAGACTTCCTTTTGGAGTAAAAACCGCCCCTTCAATCTTCCAACAAGTTATGGATACTATGTTGCAAGATATTCCTGGTACTGCGGCCTATCTCGATGACTTATTGATCATGGGCACAGACTATGCTGACTTAGAGAGTAAGGTGGACATGGTGCTTAGACGCATAGCAGATTATGGGTTCAGGTTGCGTGCTGAAAAATGTGACTTTTACATGGAGCAAGTCCGTTATTTTGGATTCATAATCAATAAAAACGGGAGAAAACCTGATCCTGAAAACGTTGAAGCCGTCAAGTCCATGCCCCCACCAACAGATGTATCAACTTTACGTTCTTTCTTGGGAATGGTTAGTCATTATGGCGTCTTTCTTCCAGATCTGCATCGCCTTCGTGCTCCACTTAATTGCTTACTGAAAAAGGATACCAAATGGTTCTGGTCAACCGAATGTCAAGAAGCATTCCTAAAACTAAAGCAGCTCCTATCATCAGACCTTCTACTTACACATTATGACCCAGATCTTCCAATTATAGTCGCGGCAGATGCGTCAAATTATGGAATCGGAGCTGTAATTTCACATACCTATCCTGACGGGTCTGAGAAGGCAATCGCCCACGCAGCAAGATCGCTGACTATGACTGAAAGAAACTACAATCAGATTGAGAAAAAAGCTCTCTCCATCATATTCGCTGTAAAAAAGTTCCACAAGATGCTGTTTGGCAGAGAGTTCACCTTACTGACAGACCATAAACCGCTACTGACAGTTTTCGGATCTAAAAAAGGTATCCCGGTATATACAGCAAACCGTTTACAGAGATGGGCAACTACGCTACTGGGTTATGATTTCAAGATAAAGTACCAACCAACAACCGACTTCGGACAGGCAGATGCCCTCTCAAGGTTGATGGATTCGCATGCAAAGCAAGAAGAGGACGTGCTTGTAGCTGCCATAGAAGTCGAGGCTGAAATTCACAAAGTATTAACAGACGCAGTTTCCGGACTCCCGGTAACATTCGAAGCCATTAAAGAAGCTAGCAAGAAGGATAATACATTGAAGATTGTTCACCTCTGCATACTCAACAAGTGGCCTTCATCTAGACTACGTGGCGAGCTCTTACAATATTTTCGTCGACGAGATTCCTTAACAGTTGTCAACTCGTGCATCATGTTTGGCCACCGTATCGTTATCCCTAGAAGTCTTCGGCACCAAGCCATTAAGCAGTTTCACAGCGGGCACCCGGGGATAAGTAAAATGAAATCACTAGCTCGCAGCTATGCATACTGGCCGACAATGGACCGTGATATAGAACAAAAATGTCGCAGTTGTTGGTCCTGTCTAGAAGCTGCGAAGAATCCAACAAAAGCTGAACCACAACCATGGCCGAAACCGGACGGGCCTTAGCAAAGAATACACGCCGATTTTGCCGGACCAATACAAGGCAGAAATTACTTAGTTGTTGTCGACGCTTTTACAAAATGGCCAGAAGTATATGATATGCCGAAAACGACATCAGACAGTACAATAAGAAGATTGTCAGGATTGTTTGTTTGTTTTGGGGTTCCAGAGATTTTAGTGACCGATAACGGCACTCAGTTTATGTCATCAGCTTTCAAACGCTTTTGCAGTGAAAATGGCATATCGCATCTACAATCTCCTCCGTACCATCCTCAGTCGAATGGCCAAGCAGAAAGATTCGTGGATACGATAAAAAGAGCTCTGGTAAAGGGGAGAGGTGAGGGTATCCCAGAACAAGTGATCAGTAAGTTCCTAATGTCTTACAGAGTTACCCCCAATCCGGCAGTACCAGAAGGAAAGTCACCAGCCGAGTGTATGTTCGGAAGAAAAATTCGCAGTCTTCAACAGTATGTTGCCACCTAGAAAGACAATAAAACCGATGAATGAGTATCGTACGATCACTCGTAGCTTCCAGGTGGGTGAAAGGGTACTTGTCAAAGCCTATCAAGGTAATAAGAGATGGGAACCAGGTGTCATAGAACGTCGAATCGGAAATGTATTGTACCTAGTTCGGAAGGGCATCGGAAAATGCATAAGACACATAAATCAAATGCAAAGAGACAGCAGTACACTGGTCCCAGGAAGCCGGCTCCCATTTCAATTGCTCGTGGATTCATTTCAGAAAAGCCATCATGAGCACAAACATAGAAGAGGCAAACGACGCAAGGGAAAAGTTGTACAAACCCCGACAGTGATGGACAGTAAGAGGAATGCGATCACAAAATTCCAGGTGGATCCGAGAAAGAAGTCTTACACAACGGACTTTAAAGGAGGGAGGTGTGACGACGGACCACGGGTGAACTCGAGGAAGCTATAAGAGGCTCAGAAGGAGCCGAAGATATTCCATCCAATCACCGTTAGTAAAGATATTCTAGAATCCCTACGTGTAGCTTCCCGATTGAACAAGGCTAATAACCCCCTGTGTGCGGATTGGAGGACTATAATGATGATTTTTGTTCTTACTAAAACTATAAATACCTGACAATTTGTACCCATAATTGACACTGTTCAGAATAACATTCCTTTCACTAGTCTTCTGTCTTCTCTTTGCGACTTGGAAGGGTTTGGGCGTTCGTGTGTTCAGTTGTACGCGTTATATCAAGTAAATCAACTATTTCTAGATATAACACCAATTAACTCTGTAATTTGAGCTAAATACAATTTAGTTGTCCTCACCAGTGTTCTGTTCACTACAGTATGTGTTGCCAATCGAAAGTGGAATGTCTGGAGACACAAGGCTGAGAAGATCGAAGAGAAGAGAACGAGAACAAACGATGGTTGGTACAAAAATGAAGGAACAATAAAATCTGAGACAATTGATGGACATTTTGCAAATGAAGTACTTACTGTATGGTTTTCAGAATTTACTAAGAGATCCTGTAATTACCTATCCGAATACGTTTGGTTGTCCCCACTTGTATTCTCGTACTCTACACGATTATCAGGTTAAAGTAATTCTTACAAATAAGCCAACTAATTAACTGAATTGAATATTTCTATATTCAGAGATTAATTTAGAAAAGAATTTATTATTTACTCATCATTATGTATCTGCACTAATGTTGTTTAGGTTTTACAACCAATAATAAAATAAGTACCAATTATTTAGTAATAAATTAATTAACAATTTTTATGGATTTTAAGTTATCCATATAAGTGATTACTGCGAATACGATTGAAGAAGTACGATAATTAAGTTTAAAGGTTGTCTATAGTACAAATATTTAAATAAGATACTTTGTAGTTCAGAAATTATCTAATAAAAAACGAAAATCCCAGTTCTAAATAAAAAGAATAGGTCTTCGGTAAATGTTTTTGTTCTTTTGAGTATATATATATATATATATATATATATATATATATATATATATCAATCTGTGATTATTTCTTCGGCTAAGGTTGTGAGAACAGTTTAGATTTTTCAGTTTACAAGGAATTTTAATATGATGAACGCTGATATATAGATATATACGTAACCGGCGATATGAATCGAATGGTAGACGACAAACGACTTTGTAATCTGTAAGTTGAGTCACTGCCAGGTTTTTACCATTCAAGCTGCCAACTACCCTAGTATATGTTTTAGGAATTCTACAACAATTATCTGCCTGTGTTCTCTAAATGAATATATCTACAGGACAGTTACACTGTCAAATGCAGTAAGTGGATGTAGATGTAGAGATAAATATACAGTTTCTTTATAGTAGTTGTTATTCGCAAAATTCTTTCTGCACAGTTGTCATCTGTAATTTTCAATAATGAGAAATGATTTGTTGTTATTTTACCAAATAACGATTCTGAGAATTTATCTCGGTCACTAAGTCTGTCAGTTGTTTATGTCAAATAAAGAATCAACTCAATACATGGATCACTTAACCTTCAATTGGTAGATAACATGTTCGAACTGTATTCCACTTAATTTGGTCTAAACACTATCACTAAACTCATGCATATTGTGCAATGGAAATTCGAGTATGTAAACCTGTACTGGGCGTATGAATTGTTAAATCTTAGAATACTAATAATTGTTTCTGAATGATTATTCTGCTTTGTTTTCATCCAATTTCGATTGTTTTTAAGCTTCTGTAATGCATTTTTTTATTGTTTATAATGATTGTACTCTCAATATTCCTACTCTTTATTTATAACTGTGGCCATTCGATGTAAACTTGATAAATGTATCCGTACTTAAGTCTGTCTGTATTATAATTCTTCATAAATCATTTTAATAACAATAATAATATGATTAAAAATTTTATACCAAACAATAGCAGATTCAGCTTTATTACGTAAAAATCATTCTTCAGTATACTTATTGATTATTTCAAATTTGTTTGTCATGACTGGATGTGTAAGAACTCATATTACTTCCATGAAATGATATGCATGTTTTCACGATGAATTACATCTATATACTAAATTCATTCATTTTCTATTTAATTCATATAAATTATGGCGTTGAATATTTACAAAAATCTAATTTGTTTTGTACAGATTCAATGTTAGAAACAGGATTTACACAGATTATATTAAATAGCACACTACCATTATTTGGTAAACTGAAATGGTTTAGTATTGAAAATTTAACGAATATCAATAAATTGCACAAATTAAAAACTATACATTTCCATAAATGTTTTAATACAACAATTCAAATGTTTGATAGTTGTTGGAATTATATAAGACAAACATTTGTTGAATATTTAATTCCAATAGAAAATAGCAATGATCGAGTTATTATTAAAAAATTTGAACAAAATCAAAGAAATAGAACAATAAGAACCGTAAATAATGTAACATATTTGAATTTTTTAAATGCACTATGTTTAACTGCATGTTATAGTCGATATCAAGAAAATTTAGAACCGATTATAAATGATCATGTTTTCTGTCCATTCCCATGTATTCTACAGAAAGATTGTTCATTTGATGTATGTAAAAATTATGGTATATTTACACATGAATATGAATGTCCATGTGATAATTCAAGTAAATGGGATAGAGATAGTAATGAATGCTTACCAGACAGTATATACAAGATAAGGCAAACGAGAAATTATGTAAGTAGATTGATTTTGCATATAGTTATGTGAGTTGATATTCTTTGTTAATATGAAAAGACATAAAATTCCACTTTTCTTATCACAACTCTGAATCTGCTTTTAATTTGCAGACTGACTTCAGAATGAACGAGGGTAGCATTTTAAAGTATATATTTACGATTGTAGACGGAGTTAAAGAAAAATAGTACAAAATTTTCGACTAATCACATTAACGAACATGTGAAAAAAGTTAATATTATATTACCTCTTATTTTCAAAATTATAGCAATTAGGAGAAAACTGGGAATTACTGACCATAAGAATGTAATCCTAAACATGCAAATCAGGCAGTTTATTTAGCTGACGTAAAATCACCTCATAAATTTATAATCTTAGAAAACCTAGAGATACTGAACATTCGTTTGTTCCTATTTCAGTCACTCAGTCATATGCAACGTAGAACCTGCCACATGTGTGTACTCGTTTAACCTACTACACCCTATTAACGCATCGAGATGAAATTGTCATAAGATACCAGAGTAAAACATGTACTAACGGTATTAGGGGTGGTATAAAAGAACAGGTATGAAAGTGTTATATGTTGGACCGCCGATTAGAGAGCAATGAATTATCGATTGTACCAAGGACGCGTAAAACACGTAAGAGCAGCCTAGAGTTCTGATTGGTCCTGCTTTCCGCCTTGCCCAGTCAGTTAATTCCAGAACGCCAATCTCAGCCTCTGCAGTATCAATCACTATATTTCAAATATACTGAGTTTATATACCAATCAAACAGACCACAACGTACCATAAAATAGAAAATAACATTCGCACAAAATTTGGCCAAATGTGGCTGTGAATGTGGGAGGCAGTGACTAATAGACAGGGCATAATTCAAGAATAGTTGATAGATCAATAATAATAAGAGGAATATGAATAGTTTAGTCATTTATCAATTATGCGATAAAAATATACGTTTAGTATTGACCCATAAATGGATCCCAAAATTACCATTCTCTATGCCTATCGGGACATAACAGAAAGATACAATTCGAGATCAGTAGTAGTTTAGAAACTTAGGACCCAAGGGTCGAAAAAAGTTCATTTCCCCGCGGGGTTAGCGATACATTGCCAACAATTCACATACTAGAGTAAAAAAGCAGTCTAGTGCTTCTTTGCTTTTGCAGATTGTCTAATTAGGGTCAATCCGTGATGTAAACTGTGAAATTCAACGCTCGCTACAAATCTCCTATACTAATAAGTATTTACTTCACCCAGTTTTTTTTATTTTACCTAAATAGCCAGATATGTTAACGAAAGAAAAGATTCTAAGGCAAAGAAACCCGAGAAATTGTGAGCCCAATAGTAAATGTAGTAAAAATGGAACATTATTTTGTACTTTGGATTCAAATTATGAGGTTAGTAAAATAATTGGTTCACTGTATTATGTATGAGCATAAATATTATTAGTAAAATAAAATGCCTACCGAAAAACAGGTAGTTTGAAAATTTAGGGTGTCGGAAGTGAATATAGTTTGATGAGTTAGTGGTGCTGTTGACTATGTACTAGTGAATGTATCATGTGGAGAATGTATTACTTTTGCTTGAGTAAAGGAAGAATGTGAATGTTCCGCAAAGTATCTATATTGTCAGCGTTTGTATTTTATCTTTAGACTGAGCAAGATTTCTTGATAAGAATTTAGCTTTATTTCTTAGTCAGTTATAAAATATTTTTTAGAACAATATACTTTTAATTCATGCTATAAAATGTGATGAGCGAAAGTGCTTTACCGTTGATATTGGATGGAGATTACGTTCTGTCAAAAAGTGGTTGAATCTGGAAATAGATTATTGGATTTCAAATAAGAGAATTGTAAGCAGACACAAATTAGATTATTAGCAACTAAAAAGGATTGCCTAGGACAGAGTTTGATGGAGAATGCTTGTGGGTGGCATATGCTCCTTCACGAGGAGTAACTGGCGCAAGTAAGTACAGCATAATATAAAGAGGTTAAAAAAAGACGAAGTTAATAATTACAAAAAATTGACTTATTATATATATATTGTAATATAATTAGATGGCATCGAAAATGTATAGGTAATTAAATGTATTATACATATTATGTTCCTCAAGAAATTGTAATAACACAAAGTTCTAGGTTAGTTGAAAACTTTTTAGAAAATACTGAAAGTCCGACACAATTTCTGTCAAGCAACTGCTTTGTAAATTTTGTAACCGTATCTTACTATGTATTCTATAGTATGGTATTTTATGTTTAGAAAACCCTGATCTTGTGATTTAATCTGCTGGGTTAAATTTGCTGCACAGTTGTTCTATGTAAATAAACCACACAGACGTCAACCCATTGCCACAGCCAGTGTGATAATTCTTCTAACTAAACGTTTGGACCGGTTTCATAAGCTCTTCTAATAACCTCAGACTAAATATATACAACTTGAACTTGAGATCAAAGGCGCAAAATGTGGAAAGAAGGCTTTACTGCAAGGTTGGTTTACGTGCAGAAACTCGATGGTATTTATAGCATTCCAGATGGCCTTGGGATTCTGGAACCTAAATAAACATAGTATCATGCTGGATAATCGTCCAATCAGAAATGTGGCACATGACTTTTCGCATTCTAGATGTTTCTGAAACACTTCTATCCAACGCTGATTGGACAAAATTTTTCCCAGAGTTTTCCGAGTACTTGTGGACATTTTCGAGGAATACTCCAGATCTCCCCAATTTGACGAATAAAATTTGATTTAAATATTTGACATATTTTGTTTTATTGTCTATTTTCACTAAATTAAATTAACTTTGTAACTGAAGATTAAAATATCGAAAACGATTATTGTTAAATATTTCCAGCAAGTTTTATTTCACATTTCTTACTATGCTAGTTAAATTTTGATGATTAATGAAAATGATTGGTTAAATAATTGGTTGTATTCTTTGAAATGGTTAATAATCAGCAAGCACAAAATGATCATCAAAATTCAGTTCTATGAGACGTGTATCGAAATTATTGTATTGTTTTTCTTTTATCATTTATCTACTTTAAGTATACAATATGTGTGTGCAAACTTGATTATCACGGTATTTATTGCCAAGACAAAATAAATGCTTGTCTATTTCGTATTGAACATCATTTACAACCAAATGGTGGAACATTAATTGCTGGTAATACAGCATGTAATATTAATAGTTCAGGCAATAAATGTGTCGCATTAATAAGTGCTGAAGGTGATGCATCATATCAATGTCAATGTAATGAAACGCACTGGATACCAGATATTGAATTACCTTATCCTAATTGCTTACAAAAACTGACAAAGTGCGATTCTATTGTATGCGTACATGGATTTTGTGTTTCAAATTATCATACTGATCAGGTAAGTAGTTATGTTATAACTTTATACGTAGTATTCTGTCGACAACCAGAGCAAAAATTTTTATAGGTTCATGAAACGTCCGGACAATGTGGGAGACCTGGAAGGCCATTCAAATAGCAACGGAAATGAGGAGATACAACTTGACAGTACTCGGAATCAGCGAAACCCATTGGACCCAAGTTGGACAACAAAGGCTAAATACGGGAGAGATACTGCTATACTCCGGTCACAAAGAGGAAAATGCTCCACACACTCAGGGAGTTGCTCTAATGCTGTCCAAAGTAGTACAAAATGCACTTGTAGGATGGGAATCTCACGGATCCAGAATCATCAAAGCATCATTCAAAACAAAGAAGGACGGGATCACAATGAACATTATCCAATGTTATGCACCCACCAATGATAGCAACGACGACGTTAAAGATCAATTCTATGAAAGGCTGCAACCAATCATAGAGAAGTGCCCAAGAAACGACCTCACCATTCTGATGGGAGATCTAAACGTCGAAGTCGGAATAGACAACACCGGATATGAAGATATCATGGGACTACGTGGACTGGGAGAGAGGAACGAAAACGGGAAAAGATTTGCAAATCTGTGTGCATTCAACAAATTGGTCATAGGCGGCACAATATTTCCACACAAACCTACATGGATCTCACCGGACCACACCACAGAGAACCAGATAGATCATATTTGCATCAATAAAAAGTTCCGAAGGACAATGGAAGATGTGAGAACCAGGAGAGGAGCGGACATAGCTTCAGACCACCACCCGGTTGTGACCAATTTAAAACTGAATCTAAAGAAGAACTGGACAACTGGACAAACAGCACTATAAAGGTTCAATACAGCCTTCCTTCAAGACACCGACAAACTCAGTGAATTCAAGATAGCTCTCAACAACAGGTCCCAAGCATTACAGGACCTACTGAAGGAAAAAGAAATTACTATGGAGGATAACTGGAAAGCCATCAAAAGAGTGTTAACTTCAACGTGTCAAGAGGTTCTGGGCCCCAAGATGCATCATCACAAGGAATGGATCTCTATAGAAACACTGGACAGGATCAAAGAAAGGAAGAACAAGAAGACAGCAATTAACAACAGTCGAACACGAGCAGGGAAAGTCCAAGCACAAGCTGAATACATAGAAGCAAACAAGCAAGTGAAGAAGAGCATTAGAGCCGACAAGCAGAAATACTTGGGAGAACTAACAACGACGGCGGAGAAAGCTGCGAGAGAAATAAATATGAAACAGCTTTACGATACAACGAAGAAACTAGCAGGGAAATATAGTAAACCAGAGAGATCAGTCAAAGACAAAGAAGGATGACCAATCACTGAAATTCAAGAACAGAGGAACAGATGGGTTGAGTACTTTGAGAAACTCTTGAATAGGTCGGCTCCAATCAATCCACCGGACATCGAAGCAGCACACACAGATTTCCCTATAGATGTCAATCCACCAACGACGGAAGAAGTCAGAATGGCCATCAGACAAATCAAGAGCAGGAAAGCGGCAGGACCCGAAAATATACCAGCCGAAGCACTGAAGTCAGACATCGAAGTATCTAAGAACGTGCTTCGTCTTCTATTCAAGAAGATTTGGGAAGAGGAACAAGTACCGATGGAATGGAAGGAAAGACACCTCATCAAGATTCCAAAGAAAGGAGACCTGAGCAAGTGTGAAAACTACAGAGTCATTACACTACTGTCAATACCAGGAAAAGTCTTTAACAGAGTGTTACTAAACAGGATGAAAGACACAGTAGACGCTCAACTTCGAGATCAACAAGCTGGATTCCGTAAGGACCGGTCGTGCACAGACCAAATTGCGACACTACGGATCATCTTCGAACAATCAATTGAGTGGAACTCGTCACTCTACATCAACTTCATTGATTATGAAAAGGCATTTGACGGTGTAGATAGGAGAACGTTATGGAAAATTCTTCGACACTACGGAGTTCCTGAGAAGATTGTCAACATTATCCGGAACTCATACGACGGACTACAGTGCAAAGTAGTGCATGGAGGACAGCTGACAGATGCATTCCAAGTGAGGACCGGAGTAAGACAAGGTTTTCTACTCTCTCCCTTCCTCTTTCTTTTGGTGGTCGACTGGATTATGAAGACCTCGACATCTGAGGGAAAACACGGCATACAATGGACAGCTCAGAACCAATAAGACGATTTAGACTTCGCAGATGACCTAGCCCTCCTATCACATACACACGAACAAATGCAGACAAAGACAGCCAACATAGCAGCAGTCTCTGCATCAGTAGGCCTCAAAATACACAAAGGGAAAACCAAGGTCCTCAAACACAACACGGAGAACAGCAGTGCAATCACTCTTGATGGCGAAACTCTGGAAGATGTGGAATCCTTCACATACCTGGGAAGCATCGTCGACAAACAAGGAGGTTCAGATGCAGACGTAAAGGTGAGGATTGGCAAAGCAAGGACAGCATTCCTTCAATTGGCGAACATATGGAACTCAAAACAACTTTCAACCAACATCAAAGTCACAATCTTCAATACGAACGTCAAGGCAGTTCTACTGTATGGAGCTGAAACTTGGAGAACTACAACAACCACAATCAAGAAGGTACAAGTATTTATCAATAGCTGTTTACGCAAGATACTCAACATCCATTGGCCGAATACCATCAGCAACAGCCTTTTTTGGGAGAGAACCAACCAGCTTCCAACGGAAGAAGAAATTAGGAAAAGACGATGGAAATGGATAGGACATACATTGAGGAAATCATCAAACTGCATTACGAGACAAGCGCTAACTTGGAATCCTAAAGGGAAGAGGAAAAGAGGAAGGCCAAAGAACACATTACGTCGGGAAATAGAAGCGGATATGAAAGGGATGAATAAGAACTGGAAAGAGCTGGAATGGATTGCCCAGGACAGGGTTGGATGGAGAATGCTGGTAAGCGGCCTATGCTCCTTCACGAGGAGTAACAGGCGAAAGTAAGTAAGTCTGTCGAGTTGTGTAACTAAAAATGTTGTTTAATACTCATTTGAATAAAAAATAATGTGTGAAACAGTTAAGATGGCGTATCTTTTCTTTAAAACTCTTAGCTGAATAATTATCTGTGTAATAAACACTGAAGACTAGGATAGTGTTCAGTAACTACGACACTTGTAATCATGATGAAATATTTTTTTGTTTATTGAAAGTTCTGGTACGAAGATAATGAAACTGTTCACTGTCGCTGGTAATATTGATCTCTTTATAGTGGTTAGCTGACTCATTCGAATAACTTTTATTGTGAGATATAATTGATCAAGTTTTAAGTTATGAATATGATCACCTTATAAATTTATGAAAACGAAACAAGTATTTATCCAGTAATATGATTATCTACTCAGATCTTCAGTTGGAAAATGATGTGAAGTGAATTTAAACCGTTCTAATGCCAATAGATTGACAGTAGTATTTATCTTGTCTACAGGTATCCTTTTCAAGAAGTCCTCATAACTCTGCAAAATCACAGCCTGAGCGTAGCTTAAGTCAAAATAACTAAAATTTAGTATTCTGTTTTTTAAATATAAATTTCTTGTTCTGTTTAAAAAACAAAAGACATTTACGTCAAACTTGAAGCAAATCCTTCAACATCCTAAATGGAATCTAATGACTGAATTTGTTTCTCTATGAGAAGCTGGAGCATTCAACATACTGTGCTTCAAAAACAGTTTTCTCTTGATTTTTTTTTCAGAAACTGACATTTTTGTATTACAATCTTGCACGAACTAAATTTTAATTTCAAAATTCTTTATATCCTCACTGATTGAAGGATATAGCGAATTGATACATCCTAATCGATATCAAATAGACCTAAGCGACTTACAATGTGATTTTTATACTTTGTCAACTGGTTTGATAAACCATATATCCCACGCTAAATAAACTAAGTTATCACAAAACATATAATTTTTATGTGAAATTTGTTTCTTTAAAAAGGCTAAATGTGTATGCAATGCTGGTTACAGTGGACCTGCTTGCGAAATATGGGCTGGTGTATGGTCGAAATGGTCAGAATGGGGTCAGTGTCGACCAACCTGTGGAAATATACGTTATAGTTTACGCCAGAGAGATTGTTTGTCAATGAAATTGGGGAATAAATCAAAGCTATGTTTAGGTTCACCCACTGAATATGTTAAATGTTCAGAAAACTTATGTATATGTAAGTAAATAGCTAACAATCAGAAGATAAAGTGCTTGTTTATTGATTTTTAAAAAGATGATGATTGTGGAAAGCAAGTATATATGTGAGTTGAATTCATTAGTATGAAATCTAAATCTCATTTTAATTTAAACAAACTTTTTTTGTTTTAATTAATGATAATATATTTCCTATATAGAAAACCGAAAAATTAGTATGAATTCAATTTATTACAGTTTAAATACAACACTTATTTTGACTACACTACCGGTGAAAGTCTAAAAGCATTGGACGACCGTTTTGACTTAGTATTGAACTCTTTGGCATTGCCCATTCATGACCCCGCGGTCTGAAATCTGGCAAGGGACATTCAGTCTCACACATAGACACTTAGCCTCCAAACCATTAAACGGGAACTCAACGATGTTATTGTTTAGCTTCAATCAATTCACAATATTGCTCAACCCTTAACTTTATCATATTGACTTGTAATTTCTCATAATTTAGATAACCCATTATATGAAGTCTCCTAATTTAAGTTCGTTTACAAACTGGATTTTATTTGTCAACTCACTTGCCCATCCACGGCCAACTTCCGAAATTACTCCTTTTTTAATGTAAAATATTTAATGACCAATGGTAATGTCTCAGATTTTTAATCCATAATAAGTTCACACAGAAAATCAGAATTTTCTATCGTAATTAGGCATGCTACTCATGAGTAGTTGCTTCAATTTTATACCAATTTTTACGATTATGACAAGTATCCCTATGTATGAACATAATGAGTACTAGGAAGACGACCTTCAAACTATAGGAGCCTCCCTATAAAACACTTAATAAAATAACCTTATGCTCACTAGTGGTTCTATCTGAGATGGTTTGCAACTTTATCATTATACGAGTCTAATTTACTGGTAAGCAGTAACTTCATTTCAAATTTTTAATGAGCTAAAAACTCATCAAAGTCTACCTAACGAGCAGTTAGAACACTGTCTGTATCCAGATGGATAGAGGGAAAACTCCCTCCGATAGTAATCATAATTAAACAAAATATGTCATTCGACTATCCTATTTTGTCTCTTAATGAGTAAATCACCTAAGATACACATCACATATTTTTATTTTCTTAATATCAGTGAACTATAGTTTCTAATGTCAAAACTAAATTTGAAGTTAATATTGTTAACTACTATTAGAAGCTTATACTACTTAGTATAACAGTTACTAGAAATAATTATTTTGAGGCAACCATACACATAAACAATAATTATCAAATGGCGGCTCAGATCAGGTTGATAATTAATCAATTACTACGATATGAAGCATTAACCGTAGTAATAATCCACAATTCTATCATAAATCTTTTCTAAATTTACACATCAAGAACTACCATATATTACTCAGATAAGAACTAGAACACATATCCTCAGAAATGAATCTTCACTTTTTAGCTCTCATCCTATTTTTTAAGGTCATTTACAAACTGTTATAATTTCTCTTATTACAACCCAGCTGTTCCTACTGCTTAGTAATCTTGGACACTAATTCACTCAACAATTCCCCAAATCAGAACACGGTTGAAAACAAGAACGAAATTATATTCCAAATAAAAAGAGTAGATGTAAGTAAAAAGCACAATAGGAGGAACGCCAGTACATTTATAGTTTTTACATGAGATGCTAGAGTCTTCTCCAAGTATCGACTAGCGCTAATTGGATAATAAATTCAGAATGCACGATACAAACCTGCACGGAACGTGCTTTCATCCAACCTATGTCCCGTTAACACAAACAATGTATAAACAGACAGTAGATTACTGCTATCTTCTGTAAAAATGATAAAATATCACTAAAGAAAAAATTTATATTCTTATTATTATCCACATATATAAAATATGTAGATAAAGTCGGTCAAAATGTAGTCGCCCATAAATTGTTGGGCTGCAAAGCACTGGGATAGTGGGTTACCATAATCTGTAAACCTAGCATTTATTATCTGTATAGGGTTCTGGTAAATGTCAAGTTTTCGATTAAGAAAATAAATGCATCGATGTTAGACCACCATTGAGAAGCTGGGAGCACTGGATTGCCGTTTCGTCCTAGTATAGAACTCCTCAGCAGTGTGCAGCGACGATCCTGCACTCAGAATTCATTATTCAGACCATTGATTATAGCCTCAATAATTATCGGACGCCTAACTAAGACTCGTGAACTGCAAACTCGTGAAAATCAGGCTGGCTTCAGACCTGGTCGTGGCTGCATCGACCACATATTCACCATTCGTCAGGTTCTAGAATACAGGCATACTTATCGGCGTCCGACAATAGTGGTCTTCCTTGATTTAAAAGCAGCATTTGACTCTGTTGACCGAGAGGTTCTGTGGCAGTGTCTGCCATTGAAGGGCGTACCTCAGAAGTACATAAACCTTATAAAGGCTCTTTACTCGAACACTACTAGACGAGTCAGAGCTTATGGCGAACTGTCATCTGCTTTTGCAACCTCAAGTGGTGTCCGTCAAGGCAGTTCACTTTCTCGATTTTTGTTTAACTTCATCATAGATCTACTGATGGAAATAACGCTCTCATCGATTGAATTCTTGGGCATCGATCTCCTACCAGGAGGTCCACTTATTAACTTAGAATATGCAGATAACATAGTCCTGATTATTGAAGACGCTGATAAAATGCAGTCTTTTGGTAACACTGGACAACAATGCCAGGATGTTTGGGATGCGCTTATCTCTCTCTAAATGCAAGTTGTTGCTTCAGGACTGACTGGCCTGCGTGAACACCTGAACTGAGGATAGGGAGTGAAGTAGTCGAACGCGTTGACAACTTCACTTGTCTTGGAAGTCTGATCAGCCCTAATGGATTGGTGTCTGACGAAATCTCAACACGAATTCGAAAATCTTGTTTGGCTTTTGTCAACTTACATCACCTATGTCGAAGGCGAGATATCCGTCTACGAATTAAGGGATGAGAATACTGCGATGCAGCTCGTTCTGTTTTAATTTACGGCTGCGAAACATGGCCACTAAGAGTAAGAGATATTCGTAAGCTATCAGTATTTGACCACAGATGTCTTAGAAATATTGCGGGTACCTGCTGGGATCACCGCGTAAGTAAAAGTGAGGTTAGATGCAGGGTATTTATTTATTTATTTTAACACATAAGTATTGGTACAAAGACGGACCAAATACATATGCGCCACACAAATCTCAATTGATATGTGTGAGGGCTGTGATACTGCTCGGGTGCCCAAACCGAAGCAGGTGGTTTTATTAGGGGACCACACCCTGAGCCTTTGATCTGAACGTCTGACCCACAAGGCAGTGGTAGCCGGTGACCAACGATTGGTTCATACGCCATTTGTTCCTTCAGGATACTGGAGCCCATGTGCACCATTGATTTGGGATCCGGTTAAAGCGCCGGACATTCGCTTTTCGTCCTCTCATTTTCGTAAACAACAGTAAGCCACGAGAAGGCAGTGAGTAGGACTTCCCTGGCAGAGGCTATATACGCGTGGCCATGTGAGAGCATTTCGAGAGGGAGAGCGGACTCTCCCCACTCTCGGCCGTACCAGGGCATTTGGGGGCAGGGTATTAAGGAATGATGGTAAATCAGTTGATGAGGTTATGAATCTTCATCGACTGAGATGGTTGGGCCACGTGTTGCGTATGCCTTAACACCGATTACCACAACGTGCAATGCTAGCCGGTGTTGGGGATAGTTGGAAGAAAGTTACTTACTTACGCCTGTTACTCCTCGTGAAGGAGCATAGGCCGCTCACCGGCATTCTCCATCCAACCCTGTCCTGAGTAATCCTTTTCAGCTGTTTCCAATTGTTATTCATCCTTTTCATATCTGCTTTTATTTCCCGACGTAATGTGTTCTTTGGCCTTCCTCTTTTCCGCTTACCTCTCAGGATTCCAAGTTAGTGCTTGCCTCGTTATACAGTTCGATGGTTGTAGCAGTTCTCCAAGTTTCAGCTCCATACAGTAGAACTGTCTTGACGTTCGTATTGAAGATTGTGACTTTGATATTGGTTGAAAGTTGTTTTGAGTTCCATATGTTCTTCAACTGTAGGAATGCTGTCCTTACTTTTCGAGTCCTCGCCTTTGTATCTGAATCTGACCCACCTCGTTAGGGGCAGCCGAACCAAAACGTGGCATCAGTCAATGGAGTCACTAACTTCTGGTCTGAGCCATGTTGGTAGACGCAAACTACTTGGTTAGGGTCCGCGCGGCTGTCGTAACCAAGGTTTTGAGACTGAATAACATGGCTCAAAATCGAACACAATGAAGTAGATGTACATACTCTCTGTTTGCACTTTAACCGTGAGATTGAAATTACTTTATACCTTTATTTCTATGAACTAATTCTTTCTCCCTGTATTATATTGGTATGTTATAATTTCTCTCTTACGGTTATAACCCAGCAATTCCTCTTGCTTACAATTCTCGGACACCAATTCACTCGACAAGTCCCCAAATCAGAACACGGTTCAACAGAAAAGAGATTATATTCCAAACAACAAGGTTAGATGGAAGTAAGAAGCACAATAGGAAAAACGTTAGTATATTTATAGTTTTTACATAAGATTTCTAGAGTATTCTCCAAGTATCGACTAGCGCTGATTGGACAGTAATTAGCCAATCAACGTGCGCCAACGCAAGCGTGAATTTAACATGATTTATTCCAATCTATATCCCGCTAACTCCTTATATGAAATCTTTTATATATTACCACCATTGAAGTAACTGCTTCTATGAATTGGTTATTCATCTTGTTGTGCTATTGAGGTGTGGCAAATTGGACCGATGCATATATGTGACTGGTCCTATGTTTTAGCCGACTTATCATTGAGTGTCAGATACATTAACTAAAAGAACTTATGGGACATCTAAATCTTCATGTTTTTTTAGATAAAGGTGTATCTTATCCCGATTTATACTATTCAATACAACAGAATATCATTGCTATGAGGTTTACATTTAATGCTGTAGTTTGTGTCACAGTTGTTGTAATTTGGAGTTTATTGTTTTTGGCATCCATAAAATCATTTTATGGTTTACTAAAAAAATTATATCTGCAAAGACGACAACTTAAAATAAAGACGTTGAGACGTGCAACATTTGAACAAGATGAAAGTAAAATGCCTGTGAATCGATGTGAAAATATTAACGATACAAGAGAAGACAATGACGAAACTAATAAATATTAATGGATGACATACTTTTACTAACTGTTACAAGTTTATACATTTTACTACGTTTACTGTGTTTAATCATTTATCATTAAATCAAATGGTTATAAATCAGTTTAAACAATTTTTTATCATCTTATTATTTAGAATAGATATCCGTTGTGAAATCTTTTTAAACCATATTTCATTGGTATGTTGGGGATTAACTGAAGTTAACCATTTAATCTTACAGGAGAAATAAACGAGTACTTTATGTCCTGGAATTAAAATTATGAAAAATAAAAGTGAAGCGTATCAACTTCGATTATTTCGACAATAGTTTCCAGCACAGACAGATATCATTTGGGGAGCCATTGAACTTCGAGGAGTACTAAGAGAATATTTCGGTTGAATTAAGTATTTCTGAGTAGTGAGTACTTACGCCACTCGTTTGGTCGAACCTTCAATTATCGTTTCTCAAGAAATGATAAATACTATCAACCAATTAATCCAATTTCAAAACGCCGTATTTCCCTACCTGCAGTTATAGGGGTGGAGACAATCTCATCCCAGAGATTAATACCTGAATATCTCAGTGGCAAAGTTTCTGACTGCTCTACTTAATAAAGAAGCTTCAAGCATCTAAGAGAGCACCGGTCAACTTATAACTGCAGATACTCCATGCTTGCTGATATAAACCAGCACAGTACTTGAGTTCCTAGATTACTCTCGATTGCTTCCAACTATGTTATATTCAAGACAGCTAACAGCGGTAACAACTCACTTAACTCGATGATCACATCGTAAACATGATGAAGAGAAGTCGACTGATTTTGAGGACTAAATAACAAGAGACAGGTTGCTACGCACTGAAAAGAAATGTATCCTGTCTCAATTATAATATACAAGTGTAATTGAGGCCCTAACTGAACACCTAATCTAAGAAAAAAACACCATTCATACTAAGGAAATTTTTTTTCTGTATAGTAGAAACATTATTATTAGACAAATACTTTACATTCTCTCCCTCATTGAAGCACTACTAAACATAAACAACTATATAGATGTCTATTGAAAATTTCTGAACAATCGTTGTGAACGGATAAAGTTTACGAATGCGTCGTCCATAAATTTGTATACTCTAGTTAGAAAGGTTGTACTTATCGTTTTCACACAGAAAACCTTACAGCTTAATATATCAACAGTTAGTTGTAACTGGTTTATAAACGTTGAAGAGGAAAATAATTTACTAGCCAATAATTTGAATGCTTAAATCATTGTCTAAACATCAACAGTAGTGATTATTTGAAGCGGTTTGCCCGTCATTTTTTATTAAATTTAATATAGTAAAATCTCTGAAAGATTTCATATCCGTTTGATTAACAAGAATGAAACAAATAAAGCGGCATGATAATAATAAAAATAATATTGCTAGTCGCCGGCACAATAGTAAAAGTAAGCATGAAAGACCAACGATAAATCTTGTTAATATGAAGTGAATATGTAATGTTTTAGAATATATTGTTTTAAAAATGCATACAGCTGATCATTATGCAGTCTTCGTTAGAACTCCAGAAATTCTTGAAAAAGTTTACATGATTGAGGATTGATTGGTCCATCTGGACGACAGTCCTTTCGGCACTAAGTGGAATTTGTTTCAAATAAATAGAAATTATTTAGAAAGATATGATAGAAAATCATGCAAACAAGAGATTTATTAAATATATGAGTAATAATGATATAGAGGTCTATGAATTCAATCAGTCAGTCTGTCAGCTGCAACGTAGGACCACGCACATATATGCATCGGTCCAAGTTGCCACACCGCATAAGCACAACAAGCTGAACAATGGATTCATAGAAGTAGTTAATTCAGTGGCGGTAATGAATAAAAGAAAGATTGCATGTAAGGACATAGTACAGAAATAAAGATATATAGTAATTCTAATCTCTTAGTTTATAAGAAGACCGAGAGTGTATACACCGACGCCATTGTGATCGATTCTGAGCCATGTCACCAAGAGTCTCCAACCATTGGTTACGATAGTCAAGCGGACCCTAACCAAGTGGTCTGCATCTACTAACATGGCTCAGACCACAAGTTAGTGACTTCATTGACCGATGCCACGTTTTGGTTTGACCACCCCTAACTTTTTTCCAATCATCCCTAACAGCGGTTAGCATTGCACGTTGTGGTAATCGGTGTTCAGGCATACGCAACACGTGGCCCAGCCATCTCAGTCGATGAAGATTCATAACCTCATCAACTGATTTACCATCATTCCCTAATACCCTGCGTCTAACCTCACTTTTACTTAGCCGGTAATACCAGAAGATGCGAGGAAGATTTCTGAGATATTTGTGATCAAATACTAGTAACTTACAAGTATCCTTTACTCTTCATGGTCACATTTCGCAGCCGTAAAGTAGAACAGAACGAACTGCTGTATAGTATACTCGTTCCTTCATTGATAGACGGGTATCTCCTACTCTAAGTGGCCATGTTTCGCGGCCGTAAATTAGAACAGAGCGAACTGCCGAGCAGTAAAATCGTCCTTTTATTGAGTTCTCACTCAGAGAATACCTACATAACATTGATCAGGATTATAATTTTTAAAGGTAAATTAATTGAGAAAACTGTTTTTGGAAGCTACTGAAATCAGTTAGATAACCATGGAAATACAGGAAATGTATGATCTTTAATTCATTTAAGTCTTGGGTTCTTCATTAATACCCACATAAACACTCATACAAAACCAAAACGGAATAACTATAAATGATTTATTGAGCATGTAACATTTAAACTAGAGAATTATGGTTCAATAGTACCAACATGGCTCAGACCAGAAGTTAGTGACTCCATTGACTGATGCCACGTTTTGGTTCGGCTGCCCCTAACGAGGTGGGTCAGATTCAGATACAAAGGCGAGGACTCGAAAAGTAAGGACAGCATTCCTACAGTTGAAGAACATATGGAACTCAAAACAACTTTCAACCAATATCAAAGTCACAATCTTCAATACGAACGTCAAGACAGTTCTACTGTATGGAGCTGAAACTTGGAGAACTGCTACAACCATCGAACTGTATAACGAGGCAAGCACTAACTTGGAATCCTGAGAGGTAAGCGGAAAAGAGGAAGGCCAAAGAACACATTACGTCGGGAAATAAAAGCAGATATGAAAAGGATGAATAACAATTGGAAACAGCTGAAAAGGATTACTCAGGACAGGGTTGGATGGAGAATGCCGGTGAGCGGCCTATGCTCCTTCACGAGGAGTAACAGGCGTAAGTAAGTAACTTTCTTCCAACTATCCCCAACACCGGCTAGCATTGCACGTTGTGGTAATCGGTGTTAAGGCATACGCAACACGTGGCCCAACCATCTCAGTCGATGAAGATTCATAACCTCATCAACTGATTTACCATCATTCCTTAATACCCTGCCCCCAAATGCCCTGGTACGGCCGAGAGTGGGGAGAGTCCGCTCTCCCTCTCGAAATGCTCTCACATGGCCACGCGTATATAGCCTCTGCCAGGGAAGTCCTACTCACTGCCTTCTCGTGGCTTACTGTTGTTTACGAAAATGAGAGGACGAAAAGCGAATGTCCGGCGCTTTAACCGGATCCCAAATCAATGGTGCACATGGGCTCCAGTATCCTGAAGGAACAAATGGCGTATGAACCAATCGTTGGTCACCGGCTACCACTGCCTTGTGGGTCAGACGTTCAGATCAAAGGCTCAGGGTGTGGTCCCCTAATAAAACCACCTGCTTCGGTTTGGGCACCCGGGTAGTTCACGAGTCTTAGTTAGGCGTCCGAAAATTATCGAGAATAGTATTTTAGATACTATATTAGTCAAACTAATTCCACTATGATTGTCACAAGATGGTTTTGACCATTTCTTATATAATTGGGACGATAAGTGATTGTAACCAGTCAGATGGGATAACACCCAACTTGCAGATTTTAGCCGAAATATTAGTCAACCTAGTCGCTAGAATTGGACCACCATCCTTAAAGACCTCTAAGGTTAATCCATCTGAACCAGCTGCCCTGCCGCGTTTTAGATTAACTATAGCCTTTTGAACTTCAGCTAGATTGGGAGGACCTACTTCAATGTTCCATTCACACTGTCTAGGAATGCAGTGTAATTGTAGAGTAGCTGAAGGCCAGCTGAACTGTTCGCTAAAATGTTCCTCGCACGGTTCTAAACGTCTGGGCTAATAGCAGGTGAAAGTGCCGTCTTTTTACGAGATAGTCTCACTTACTCTTGACTTTTTAGTTCCAGTTTCTTTTATGAGTCTAAAGAGTTGTCTGGTGTTACCTTTAACCACGGCCTTTTCCATCTCTTTTGCTTTCGTTGCCCACCACTGCTCACGGTCGTTACTTAGACTTTTGGTTAGTCAGTCAGTCAGTCAGCTGCAACGTAGGACCAGGCACGTATATGCATCGGTCCAAGTTGCACACCGCATTAGCACAACAAGCTGAACAATGGATTCATAGAAGTAGTTAATTCAGTGGTGGTAATATATAGAAGAAAGATTGTGTATAAGGAGATAGTAAAGGAAGAAAGAATTAGTTCGTAGAAATAAAGATATGAAGCGATTTTAATCTCTTAATTTAAGGAAGACAGAGAGTGTATACACCGACGCCATTGTGATCGATTCTGAGCCATGTCACCAAGAGTCTCCAACCATTGGTTATGATAGTCAAGCGGACCCCAACCAGGCAGTCTGCATCTACCAACATGGCTCAGACCAGAAGTTAGTGACTTCAAGCACTGATGCCACGTTTTGGTTTGGCCGCCCCTAACTTTCTTCCAATCATCCCTAACACCGGTTAGCATTGCGCGTTAATCTGGATCTTGCATCTCCTCACGACGCTCCACTGCCTTGTGGGTCAGACGTTCAGGTCAAAGGCTCGGGGTGTGGCCCCCTAAGAAAACCACCTGCTTTGGTTTGGGCACCCGGGCAGTATCACAGCCCTCACACAAATCAATTGAGATTTGTGTGGCGCATATGTATCTGGTGCCTCCCTGTACCTATACTTATGTGTTAAAATAAATAAATAAATAAATAATCTGGATCTGATTTGTTTACGCTCTTCATCGAGTTCAGAGCCTGATGGGATGAGTTAACGCGAATCCATCAGCGCAATAGAACTTGAAGAAATCCATTGGTTGATTGCAACCCCGTGGTTTAAATCACTAATAGATGTCACTGCTGTTTCCACAGCTGACTGTGTATATTTCCAAGCAACATCTGGGTCAGCCTCGTTTTCAGAATTACCTAAGTGTGACTTCAGTTGTTCCTGGAACCTACTTTTGATTTTCTCGTTGCTCAGTTCAGTTCTAATGGGTCTATTTAATGTGGCTTTTTTGCGTCCAGTGAGGCGCAAGAATATGCGTGCTCGTATTAGAGCATGGTAGGAGTCCACGCAGGTACTCCAGAATGAGCAACAATCTATGAATTTAATAGTAGTTGTGTTAATCATCGATCTTTCTGTACTCAATTTCCAGCCAGAATTCTTGTATTATTTTTTATATTATATTTGAACACATAAATATTGTTACAAGGAGGCACCAAATATATATGCGCCACACAAAACAATGAGAATCTGAAGAAAAGGGAAAAAAAGTAAGGAACGTAGGGAATTATAATTAAAAAAAACAATAATGGGGGAAATGAAAAGGTACAATCAGAAGAGATCTTCCAGTAAGGAAGAAGCGACCGCATTTTACGAAGAAATAAAAAGAAGGTTACAGCAGGATCGCCACCGGCTTCTATTCTGAGTCTTATCTGATAACGTTTCTAGCGACTATGTTGCACCATCTCTAGGACCCCAACCGAGGAGTCGTGAAGGACCAACACAAACCAGCCCTTTGCAAATTTCTTTCATACCGCGACACCATGTCATATACTGACCAACTCTCCGCTTTTTCCAACCAGTCCCAGATTCAGCAAATAATGCACGACGTGGAATTCTCTGGGACGACATTCGTAGAACATGTCCAAGCCACCGAAGTCGGTGTTTCAAAATGGTGACACCAATTGGATTACCGTCACTGAGTCCGAACACACGATGCCAAACCTCTGCATTACTAACATGGTGTTGCCACTGGATGTCAGCAATCCTTCGGACACAACGATGATCGAACACAGAGAGTCTTCTAACATCCTCAACTCAGAGAGACCAAGTTTCACAAGCATAGAGCAAAACTGCTCTCACAGACGGGTTGTAGATCCAACCTTTTACAGCCAGACTAACATCACGAAGGCGCCAAAGATGGCCCAGATTGGTATAAGCCGCTCTGGCTTTCACTATACGTGCATTGGTCTCATCGCTCACGCCACCAACAGCACTTATGCAGCTACCTAGATACACGAACTTCTCGACTACTTCTATCTGCTCACCATCCATAGTGAGTACAGGATTAGAATCCTGCCAGTCTTGTAGAAGTACTTTGCACTTCGAAGGTACAAAGCACATACCAGACCTACGGACATTGATTGCCAACTGATTAAGTGCGGATCGCATGGCTTGGGCATTATCGCAAAGTAAGACAATATCATCCGCATACTCAAGGTCGAGAAGTCTTTCTCCAGGCAACAGATCCACACCACCATTACTTACATCCGTCAGAGCTGTTTCCAGAATGTCATCGATGGCAAAGTTGAAGAGGAATGGTGAGATTGGGTAACCCTGCCTAACCCCACTGCTCGAATGGAATAATGGAGAAAGACGGTTGTATGCCCTCACTCTGCCTGGAGTGTTTGAATATAGGGCTTTTACGATGTTATTAAACTTCTAAGGCACACCCTTCTTCAATAGACAATCCCAGAGAACTGTTCTGGCCAACGAATCGAAGGCAGCCCTAGAGTCAAGAAACACTACGATTGTTGGCCCTTGATAAGTATGACGGTGTTCTAACATTTGGCGGAGGGTGAAGATATGATCAATATATCCCCGACCAGAACAAAAACCAGCCTGCTCCTCGCGAGTCAATCCTTCTCGGGTTTTGAACAACCTACGAAGTATGACGGAAGCCAATAGCTTGGACACAATCGGAAGTAGACTTATCCCGCAATAGTTGTTACAGGAACGACGCGAACCCTTTTTAAAGATAGGGACAACTATCGACTCATTCCATGACGTTGGTACACTCTCTAGTTCCCAGACCTTTGTTAACAACACAGTCAGTTCCTTAGCCAGAAAGTCACCACCATCTTTAAAAAGAGCCGAGTTAAGTCATCGGGGCCCAGTGATTTGTAACGTTTCAAGAGTTGGAGTTCCTTGCGGACTTCCGCCTCAAATGGCGGATCAGTCGTCACCGGCCATGGAGGGCAAGACAGTCTGACCGACGTTGCCGGAGCAGCAGGCCAGTTGAACTGCCCTTCGAAAAATTCTGCCCATCGTCCAATACGTCGAGAATTTTTGTATGAGGTTTAGTGATTTCGGTACGACTGCCCAAGCTGAAATGAAACGAGTTTCGAACCTATAATTCAATGATCTAGAATAAGATGCTTTAACACCAATACACCACGGAACTGATTATTTAACAAATTGGTACGTGGAATATGTTGATACTGAGTTACAATAATAGAATCAATTTCTTTAGTTTATTGAGAGACATGTCATTGTACACAAGAAATTTAAGATTTAGAAACCCTTTCTATAATATATTTTTAAAGCACCTAGCAAAAACAAGCTTCAATTTCTACATAAACAACTACATAGGACTCTGGAATCTCATCAGCCTTACGTTTACATCTTATTCCATCAGTGAATGAATATCAAACATGAAGAATATGCTTCCTATATAAATCTATATGCGACTGTATAGATCTGAGAGTGAAATCGACGAAATGAATCTATTCGATGAACTACACTCTTTCTTAAAGGTCTACTTTCACAAAACTAAGTAAAAAATATTAAACCTTAATTTATCACACATCAACTACAAATGCTTAAAATATGTTGAAAAAAAAAATGGTGGGCACTCATTTTCTTAAAGAATATCGTTTGATCTCGCCTGTTGAATATTACATTAATTAGCTTAATATCAGAAACACTTACCAAGCATATTGTACAAGGGATATTAGCTAAATTTGCAACAGATGGTGTTTGTGTAGCTAGCCGATAAAGTATTCCAAAACTAGTACTTTGATCAGATGTTTCAGAAGTAATACGTGTTTCTAGCTCACCCCCAAACTTTAAAACTTCAAGGACACACTGGACATCCTGAACAGTCATAGATACCTAGAAAGTCACGACATCGAAAACAAGAGTTATGTGGATTCTTTTAGATTACCTACTCATACCTAAATAACATACCAAATATAAAAATAAGTTTTTTTACAGTCTGCCATCTGATATTCAAGCTTTTAAAATAAAAGCACTATCAAAATGTTGGTGTTAATGCCCGGTGGCTTGTTCGTTTAATAATATCGTTTTATTAAAGACTACATATTTTCAATGTGTAAAACCTCCAAATCTTTTACAATAATAACATCCCATATTCAGTATAAGGCTTAGATATGTACCTTGTATGATTTGTCATACATTAAGAACTTACAATATCTAGAGACGTGGGCAGTGGCACACTGTACTGAAAAAATCTTTCCACGCACAATTTAGCGTCCGTCCATAAAATCATGCGTAAAATCTACCAGGTAAGGGCTTCTAATACTACTACTTAGCTGTCTAAATCTTAGTAGGTAGTGACAAGTTTGAGCGTATGACGCAATAGACTGAAGTTCAGTATGTAAAGTTAGGTTGCATAACTACAAATTACTGATAAATATCAGTGGTAAATATTATTGTTCATTCGACAAAATTAATTGTTTTAAAAATCCATTTCCTGGCTCAATACCTCTTGCATCACTTCTCGAAGGCCGTAACCGTTACAAAATCCACTTAATAAAAAACCTGATGTCTAAGTTTTCAATTAATTTTACTATAACCCAATCATTTGGTAAAAATAAAATGGTAAGCTTGGTAACTTAATTTACAAGCAAAGAATTCATTCGAATAATTAGGTCAACTTTATCTAAAGTTTGAAAATAAATTCATAAAATTCATTTTAAATTCAATCTTCAGAGGAAAATGATTTTAATTTGCCAAAGCCTATGTTTTCGTGCAATACTGTGATATCACTTATCTCTAGGTTTATATGGACTACAAAATTTGTAGTAGTGATGAGAATACAGTAAACTATGTTATGATACTTTGACTTATCAGAAAAGTTTTCACAACTTGCTCGACTGTCACTGTCGTTTGTATGTACGGGAAGCTAACAGACTCGTATCTTCTGTATACTAATGGTTTCTTAGAAAAAATACATATTAAAATGTAATAAAGGGTAGATATTATTACCGATTGACAATTAATGTCGCCGAATGTTACCAACAAGCATCTTGTTACCAACCAAAAACCTTGAAATAAATTCAAGGGTATGTGTTATAGAAATGATATGGGAACTCACGTTCGTTTAGAGAGACATAAATTTTGTAAGAACTATTAGTCGCTCATTTAAACATCAAAACAGATGAAATTAAACAAAGAAGTACTACTGATGAGCCATCTGAAATAACTCATTTAATTCGGAAAACGAAAAATATCACATGACAGCTAGTGACATTGAAAAACACAGATCTATGTCCCCTTAAACCACAAAATATAGCCATTGTGTCTATGCTTTCTGACCATTATCCAGTCGCTAAAAATACGGAATTATGAAATGACTTCCATAATGCAAAACACAATAGTGTTCTAAATGTGTGGTAAATTGTCTTGACGGTTTAAAGGATAACATCTATCTTCAAGTATAAATTGTAGTAAATAAGCAAAATGAAGATATGCTGACTCCCCAGCAGAGTTATTTATTGTGAACGTTTTATAAATGCTAAGTAGCACCCAACTTACAAGTGCTTTCGGTTGCATTCGGTTGGTTTTCTATAAACTAAATAGTTCGAAGGCATTGTCATACATGAATCAGATCTTTATTCGATGATTCAAGAGGATGCTGAATTAATTGACGAAGACAACATGAATTATCTCAATGTTATACACACTTAGTATCTAGCACACAAATGAGAATACAAACTTGTAATTTGTAAATTATACCCACTAACATATTAACAAATAGAAAGCAGCTGGTCATATGCAGCAAATGAATACAGCTATTTGCCTAATATGTTACGCTTTATAGCTAGACATGTATAAAGTTGCCCAATCGTGTCATTTTTGTTGACGAGAGTTATTTTCCACTTTCTGAAAAGTATCAAAGATAAACAGCTAGTATTTGACTAACAAAATTAAGTTTTTTAGTATGCACAAGATAGGAAATAAAAAATCCTAGACGACTAACTGTATTATAAAAACTTAAAACATATACCATCCTTTCCATCATATAAATTTATGAAAAATCGAAATGAGATTATTTCGCCAGAAAGTAGAAAAACTGCGAGACAATCCAGAAGTAAACAGACTATGAAAATAAATCATCATGCAGAGATCACTCTCTATTTATTGGTGTATAGATACTTGTTATTTCTGCAGAATTACCGGTAAATATTGACTGAAAATTTAGTTTTATAGTTTTCATGATTTAAAAACAGGTTCTTACTCTAAATCATCTCTTAGAGTATAATTTTTAGTATAAATGAATATGCTTTTCAAAGTCTACCAATGAAACTAAATGTGAAGGCAAAAACAACCAATGTACAAGAAGTATTTTCGGCATTTTTCTACGGAATACCAGGTAGTCTGTTCGCCCGGAGGTTCAGTAGTAATTAGTAATTCGCACTAATTCGAAATGAAATTTGTGGTACTATCTCGTGTTAATATAAGATTGTTGCTTGTCACGAAATATAAAGAAGCGAGTTATCTAGGGTTGAGCTTGATAAGAATATCGTATTGTTTTAGGACTTACCGTGCAAATTTTTGTGTTGGTAATAAACCGATGGATTTCTTCACAAGAAACATATGAAGCTTGCCAACGTTCTAATGGATCAGCGATATGAGAGGCTGAATTTGCCTATAAAATGTGTGTCAGAATGTGTCACACGATAACCTTATCCTGAAGATACTTTAAGCAGGCTGTTCTTAAAATAGAAATGAACTCTGCATCCACACCAGATTCCCCAGCGAATAATGTATTTGCAGCCAACTTTTCACTGGGTTCTAATTCTATTAGCAAGTAAACTTTCTGCTTGTGACCGACAGCCATCGGCACTTCTTTGATCATCTTCTTAGAAATTAGTGATTTTAGTATCCTAGGTATGCGATTTTGAGGCAGTTTAGTTTCTGAACTAATTAGCTTCAGTGATGCAGCTGAGTTAGAGATTAAGTTATGGAAATGAGAATAAAAGTAAAATACCGTCTTCACCGGCGTTACGTATAGCATTGTAAACCAAACGTTCTTCCAGATCCGATAGGCTTTTCAACTTCCTAGTGAAAATTAGGATATATTCTGAGTTTACTTACTCATTCGAATTTTGATCTCTAAGTTGCCATGATAAAGTCCTATCTGCATTAACCAAAACATCCAACATCCCCTCCTTTTGTAATGCATTTAAGATGGGTAGGATGGTAGTGAGTGATACGTCAGAAAATTCCTTTTCAAAATGCTTTTGTGTAAGAGCTCCCCGTGATAATTTGAACAGATTGAGAACCCTGAAGAAATGGAAACGTGTTGACGATAACAAACCTTTCTCGAAGACTATCAGAATCCTCATTCATTGGTGATTAACAAACACAATCTGAAACAGAAGTAGCTCAGCTTGATACATGATACTTTCTCGTTAAGAGGGAGAAATAACTCATTATGGAGTGAAATGCATCATGTAATACAGTGAAATAAACCCGAACTAATGTGATAAAATATTTAGTTCTTTAAAGGAATTTCAAAAAGTGTGTAAACTCTTACATCATTATAATAACATGAGTGAATCCACAAACTAATATGTATAATATACCTCAATAATTTATAACATTAAACAAACACTTGTATGTTTCCTAAAAATCATGTTAAATTCTGACGACGATTTTAAATGTGAAACCTGCAAGCCATAAGTCAAAAGTATCAAGCTGAAATGTCTGCATAAGATCCTACTCGTTAACAGTTAGGCATTAAACTTGTAACTCTCAAGTATTTCAAACAGCATATATGTAATAGTTTAAACAAAAAATTAATACTATAATTTATGGACGAATAAATCAGATTTAAATCATGTCTTGGATTTTGATGAGAAATTTCACTCATCTATTTGGCGAAATAGCATTATGGCATTATAGCTGACGTCAATTCTTGATGAAAACCCTACATCCAATTTTCAACCCTAACGTTCAACTGTAAATACTTATCCCAGCTTTTCAAATTATATTTGTAAACCGTATTTAACTTTAGTAAATAGGTGTACATTCTTAAGTTCATGTTAACGTTACTCAAAATCCGTCCATATATTATAGTCTCAACGATACTTCCTCCAAAACTTAACATAGAATCTTATTATGATATAGCACACAACTTTAAATGTTACTTGGTTTGACAAAGTATGTTATTTGAAAACATTAGCGAACCGTTGGTGCTGGAAGCGTCAGCTCATTAAACACTTTATAACCTGTCTATAGTAATATGAACAAAAGCCTTACACTCATTTCGCATGATAACAAGAATAGACTACTTAAACCGATGTGCATATGTGCCAGAATTTACGTCTAAACTAAATGGCTGATACAGACAAACATCTGACTGTTAATTACGAGAACAAAAGTAATTAAACTCGAAATAATGCATAATCCGGAATGGAGATTTCAAGTGTTGTTCAAACAAAGTAAACAATCTGGTCAGGACTAACCTATGTAGACACAAGTTGACTTCAGTATCGTAAAAGGCCTGCTAATACATTATAACTTATAGCACCACACGATGAACTCGATTAAAAATAATAAATCCTCAAAGAGCTAATGTGGTTCATTTTTACTGTCACGAAACTGCCGATAGAACGAATTTAAGGACTTCAGTTTACAAAATTTTGCTTGAACCAAGCTGACTATTTGTAATCGAAGTCGCATGAGAAAAACTTTGCAACGTAAACTGTTAAGTCTAGTTTTTCCCTTCCATAAATGTCAAATGCCTAACAAACAATTACTTAATTACTATAGCATGTTTCAAAAGATTACACTCTTAAATGACAAAATCCCTGAAATCCCAAATGTGAAACTAGAAGTCTGTAAACACATTCGTAGTCGAAAGAAGAAAAGGCAGAGGGCAATTTTACCAACAACATTTAATCTAGACATTTTAAATGACGACTGTCGAAAACGTAATTTGCAGCGTGATTCAAGGTTACGTTACGCAAAGTTTAAAAACCGTCCCGATGTTATGCGTTAAAGAAAAATCAAAATGAACCTTGTAATAAAGTTTCAGGTTGTTTAGCACTCATTATAAAGCCAAATTTATGAACTTTAAGTGATAGATGTTTCTTGATTATTGCGAACTTGTGACAGTTTGTGTCATTTTGAGCTCAGCTTCATGGTACTGTAGTGACCTACTTTTGTCAACAGAACGCGATTGATGCAATGAAAACAATTATTATTCTAACTAGAATGGGTTTTGTGGAGAATTGGTAATTTCAATAGTTGAAATCATGAATCAATTGAAGCTAGACCACCATGGAAAACCTGGAAACACTGAACAACCGTTTCGTCCTAGTATGGGACTCTTCAGCAGTGCGCATCCACGATCTCGCCCCTCGCGGGATTAGAACCAAGGACCTATCAGTCTCGCGCCAGGCGCTTAACCAACTAGACCACTGAGCCGGCATCCAACGGTGTTAATGTCTAACTTCAACCAATTGTGCCAGTGATTGTTTTACTGTGCTCGTTTGTTCAACTGTGCTAATGACAGCCATTACTCTCTCTCCCGTTGACTTTGAACATGTTTGAATTCGGTTATGCATAATAACCACGCATATACTCTTTTGGCACGATTTTGGTATTCTTTCGATACCACGATATCGCCAACAAATACATCTCGACTACAGCCATCATCTGCCTTCGGATATAGACCTACGGGGATCTTATTGGGTAACTGGCACGTAGTCTTCTTGTAGTGGTGTTCATAGTCAAGCGCGACTCGACACCACCCTACAGTACCGTTTGCATACTTATCAAAACTAAAAGTGCAAAGGTATAATATCGAGTACGTTAACTGCCAGTGAGCCAATCATATTATGATTGTTCTTTGCTTGATCTGAGTCATCTTCAGATCATTAGTCACGAAACACTAATCAATGTCATATTTGTCTGGTCTTTTACAAGTGGTCATATTACATTCCTGCCGCAAATATATAAGATTTGACATCTTGTGCGGTGTAATTTGAGGATCTCAGCAGGATAAACTCGATCTAGGACTCTTGAGATCCGACACCATGAGGATTACTTTTAGTCTTATGTGATGCAGTGAATTTTAAAATAATGTAGCGGTAAATAAATCCCTGAAATAAATTGCTTTGTAAGTTTTCGACATTGGATGCTGACCACATTGGTTTTAATGGACTCATCTGGCTGAAGACGCTCGGTCATGCATCCGCACCAGATCACGTGTGGGAACGCCGTGCTCAACATCTACTGCAATCGCTAGCCAGATTAGATCAGACGATCCTTGATATATTGATAGCCTATCAAATATATCTTCGAACCTCCTCGCTTCTGTTCTTTGATTTCACTTGGTGGGTACGCTTCATGTCTACAACTTAGGCTATTAACAAAAAAAGATATTCAATATTAAACGCGGAGAGAAGACCAACAATGGAGAGTACGGGAAGAATTAATTTGATTCAGTCGGATAGCATTGCTCAACCTTTCAGATGCGATCATTCACGTGTAACTTACCTCTTATTGATATGAAATACATTTATCTATCGCCAGCCTTAATGTGTCCTCCGGAGGTAAGTAACATTATGTTAGTGGCTCGCACGACAGGTAGTGATGTGACATCCACGTGAGATCATGACAAGTCTAAAATTTCAGGATTAGGTTTGTTATTACAGCAGCACTAATAATGAAGTAGACCATAATCTAACAAGTGAACTGAAAAGATTTGTGCCAACATTGAAGAGTGTCTCCATACTGTACGATCTGACATGATACAAGCCAAACACATGACTGAGAAACCCGGAAAATGTAAATCTCCATAAAATAAATTAGAGGTGTAACACAACAGAATATTAAGTAATGTAGTATCTTGAACTCGTCAAGAGATTGTTGATGCTCCGAATGCTTCAAATCTGTCATTACAAAATTGATAGAAATAGATATGATGACCGAGAACAGGTTGAGCCCTGACTATATGGACTGTTCGTTGTCAATACCTTTGTGCTCGTTACAATGACGTGAAGCCCAATCCCAATTTTTTAGATTTGGTATAACATGACAACCTGATCTATATGACGTTTCGTGAAAGTCACATTATCGTTTACTCTGTCTCGTCATATCCTGACATTCAACATTACGATTTTAAACACATGTGAAGAGGACACTTTGACTATGGATGAAACAATATATTTTAGTGCGAATAGGGGCTAGTTACACGGATGACCAAGTGTGAAAGGCCGAACCATGACCTGCTGCTATGCCGCTCTTGATTTGTCTGATGGCCATGCCGATCTCTTCATTTGTTGGTGGGTCAACATCGATTGGGAGGTCCGTGAGTATTGCCTCGATGTTGGGTGGATTCAGAGAGGCTGATCGATCCAAGAGTTCTTTAAAGTGTTCTACCCACCTGTTTCGTTGTTCTTCAATGTTGGTGATTACTTGACCTTCCTTGCTTTTCATTGGTCGTTTTGGTTTACGATAATTTCCAGCAAGTTTCTTTGTTGTGTCATACAATTTTCTCATGGTTCCTTCTATTGCAGCCTTTTCCGCCGTCATTGCTAAATCTTCCATGTGTTTACGTTTGTCGGTCCTGATGCTCCTCTTCACTTGCTTGTTTACTTCTGTGCATTCAGCTTTTGCCTTTGCTTTTTCTGCTCTTGTTCAGCTGGTATTGATTGCTGCCTTCTTGTTCCTCCTCTCTTGAATCTTATCCAGTGTATCAACAGTGATCCATTCCTTGTGATGGTGCTTGTTGTGTGTGGCCCAGAACCTCATGACATGTTGAAGTGATTGCCTCTTTTATCCCTTTCTAGTTGCTCTCCATAGTAGTTCCTTCTCCGTTGAGTAAGTCGTGAAAGGCCTGGAACTTATTGCTGAGGGCTATCTTGAATTTGTTGAGTCCGTCAGTATCCCGAAGAAGAGCCGTATTAAACTTGTGTTGTATTGTCCACCCCGTTGTCCAGTGCTTTTTAAGTTTCAGTTTCATCTTGGCGACCAGCAAGTGATGATCTGATGCTATACCAGCTCCTCTCTTGGTTCTCACGTCCTCCTGAACCTTTTGTTGACGCAGATATGGTCGATTTGGTTTTGCGTAGTGTGATCCGGTGAAGTGTATGTGGCTTTGTGTATGCTTTTATGTGAGTAAATTGTGCCGCCTATGAGCAGTTTATTGAAGGCACATAGGTTTGCAAATCTCTCACCATTTTCGTTTCCTCCAGTCCGTGCCGTCCAATGATCGCTTTATATCCGTTATTATTCATCCCAACCTTGGCATTTAAATCTCCCATCAGAATGGTCAGGTCCTTTGTTGGGCACTTCTCGACGATTGACTGCAGCCTATCGTAGAATTGATCTTTAGCATC